TCGGTCGGCGGTCTGAGGATGCCGAGCAGAGGACGGGGTCGGTCGGCGGTCTGAGGATGCCGAGCAGAGGACGGGGTCGCCAGGCGATCTGAGCGACCTGAGCAGAGGATGGACGTGAGATAGTGGTCTAAGAGGGCCGGGCAGACGGCAGGAGTCAGATGACGGTGTGAAGACAATGGGCAGAAAATGGAGGTCAGCCGACATCGCGACCCGCACCGCATTCTCAGCGCAGCTGGTCACGATGAACAGCGCAAACCTGAGGGAGGTTTGGGGCTTGTATGCTAGCTAAAACACGAAGCATTTCGCGTTGGTTTCAGTTGTGCGTTCGATACGTACGCTCGTCAAGCCGTACGTACGATACAACACGTAATTACGGCTTCTGTGCACAAAAGCCTTTTCAGCACTCCGCCATGCATGACTGAAAGCGCTAGGTAGGTCAGTACCATCCATGCATTTCTAAAGGCTCAATATTGTCTATTTTAATCAGTTGAGGAAAAGAGGAAAACCTGTCCTGATGTACTACAGCTGAAGAAAATGTGTTAGATAATGTCTAACGCCTGAGCCTATATCTCCCGTACTGCCGCATGGTAGCGTGAGCAAGATGTTCAAGCCTTTTGGGCGCATGAACTAGGTGTGTACCAGAAAACTTACATGTAAACAGTAGACGTTACACAAAACTGCTCACTTGTCCCATACTAATCCTTCATGAGATATTCCTGAAATCCGGTGTCGCTTTCTAGTTGCGCGACAAATCTAAATATGTCAAACAGATGGTGCGAAATTACCAATGGCGAGCCATGCAGGGTATATGCTCATCAGCCAGCCTGGCATCGGCCTGCCTGTGGTTGCGAAACCCTCCCTTGACCTATGATGAAGCATTGAGGAACCATGAGACACCGACCTTGGTCCGCAGTGGCTTTTGGTTTGAAAGAACAATGTAGTGTGTTGCCCAGTTCCCATCGACCTCAATAGAGAAGAAACAACACCAAACATCAGACGACAGTTTTCGACCGTTCAAGGCGATTTAAGCCTTTCGGACATCACCAAAATGAGCTGCAGAAGATCAGACAAGTAGCGTCAAAACACCCCTTTCCGAGCTTGGAGGGCACCCGTGGTCCAGAGGAGGATAATCCATCACTCGGCCGTGGCCACGCGGGACAGGACTGCACCGGTGCAGAAGGCTAATGACCGCCAGACGCTGTTTGAGACGCGCTCCGGTCGTCCCGCCAGTTTTTCAGCGCGCGCAATCGACCGGACGAGCTCTCGAATGAAAACAAGATACGGGAAGACGTTGGATCATTAGGGACGATATATTTCAAGAAACCGGGGCTTCGCGTCAGTCAAGAGAAAACAACGGCGAAATAAACGAGCGAACTCCCGCCGAGTCGCCCGCAGGAGCGCTGCGGAGGCTCTGGCTTTGGGCGGTTCGAGCTCTGGGATGGCTTCGATTCTGGACTGACTCTGGCTATGAAGTGGTTGTGACTGTGTTTCTAGGCGGCGGTAGCTCCAGGCCTCCAGGGCAGGGCTGACTCTGGCACTACGTGGCCTGGTTACGGAGCGGCTCTGGATCTGGCGCAGTTCTGACTCTGAGACGGTTCTCGCTCTGGCTCCGGGGTGGATCTAGATCTGGGACGGCTCTAACTTCGTTATCGAGCGTCTCTGGCCCTGGAAAGAAAGGTCTGAGGCGGCTCTGGCTCTATTTCTTGGGTGGTTCTGGTCCTGGAGAGACCCCGAATCTGGGGATCTCGGCTTTGGTTTCTGAATCTGGGTTTTGGTTCTGGCGCTGCACGGATCTGCCCCCGGGGCGGATTTGGCTCTGGACGGCTCTGGCCCTGGTTTTGGTATGACTCTGACTATGGTGTGGCTCTGGCTCTGGTTCTGGGACGGCTCTGGCCCTGGAGAGGCTACGGGTCTGGAGCGGGTCCGACTCTGGCCCTGGAGAGGCTCTGGCTCCGGTTCTGGGACGGCTCTGGCCCTGGAGAGGCTCCGGGTCTGGAGCGGGTCCGACTCTGGCCCTGGAGAGGCTCTGGCTCCGGTTCTGGGACGGCTCTGGTCCTGGAGAGGCTCCGGGTCTGGAGCGGGTCCGACTCTGGCCCTGGAGAGGGTCTGGCTCCGGTTCTGGGACGGCTCTGGTCCTGGAGAGGCTCCGGGTCTGGAGCGGGTCCGACTCTGGCCCTGAAGAGGCTCTGGCTCCGGTTCTGGCACAGCTCTGGATATGGGCAGCTCTGGCCCTGGTTCTGAGTAGCTCTGGCTCTGGTTCTGGGCAGCTCTGGATATGGGCAGCTCTAGCTCTGGTTCTGGGCAGCTCTGAGTCTGGCCCTGGAGTGTTTCTGGTTCCGATGCAACGAACGAGTTCCCCTCAGTCGGATGGGTTCAGCACACATCGCAGGACATCATCCATCCCTCACCATCGCCGCTGCGGACTTGTTATGTTACGCGCTCGCTATCGTCGGCGCTCTGACATCGCCATCCGCGTTTTTACCTACACCCGTGCGCCCAACGCAACACAAACTGAGAGATGCGCCGATATACGATGGTGGCGTGTGCCGACACAAACGTGAACAGGAGGCTTGCTATTGCCGCTGCCTGAATCGTCAGCACAGTATGCCCAGCACTCGAGCTACAAATGCTTCCACTTCCCTCTCCATTCCACCTGATCCCGATTCACCTGAAAAGAAATCTGTGCTCGTCAGGAATTGGAGAGCGCGGACATTTGGACGGTGGAGAGCGAGGACGTGCTGTGGGGTAGCAGCGCGAGCGCTCTGGGGCGCGCGGCCCAAACAGAGCAAATGAAAGCTCGATGGCGATGTTTGCTCATATATTACGTTAGATTTCTAAGCGCTAAAGGGCAGGCTGTGACTTGTGGAACATGTGGAATTAATATTTATGCATTTTTGACATAAATGTCTGTTTACAAAGGAAGTTGGTCGGTGCAATCGTTATCAGCGCAGAAAGTAAGGCAAAAATCGTGCCGGCATCGAGGTCAAATACGATGCCTTTCAAGAGTTGTAGTTTCCAGCCGAAATATCCGGCCATCTTTGTCAGAAGTGAAAAGCACCTATATTTTCCAGCTGAAGTATGCATAGCATGACACAAGTATGTGGAGGGCCATTCAACCAGCAGTTTCCGCAGGACTTCATCACCATCCGTCATCAGTTGTGCGTCTCCCCGGCCTGCTCAGTGACCATCTGAACGAGACCTGGTCTGTCCCAGTGGTAGATCTATTTGTGCAAGCGATAAGTCATGGCAACAGGCGCTTTGGTCGACACCAGAAACAAAGTAAGCGGTATGAGAACAACGGCTTCAGTCGCTACGGTGCCAATGGGGGGAGAGCGGGGAGGGGGGGGGCAGAGATGAGCACCATGGGTATCCTTGAATGATTGCATGGACGCTAGCGGCAGCGACGGTGCCATTACATCGGCGTTCTCGCCCCGACACATCGGTTCTCCGCCTGCCCTCAGACCACCAGCTTGAACCCGCTTGAAATCATCGTTTTAAACCACAGGTGTCAAACCCCGTTAAGATGGAACACCCTGGTAAGAGACGCGACACAACTACGACACACCCCCTGTCAAACCACCTGATACGATGGTACACCCTGATGACAGACGTGAAACATTGCCTAAGCCAAATGAACCGCTGCTTGGAGCCACCGTGTACCCGCTACATTTCAAATGAAGAATTTGTGTCCATCGAATAAGTATCGGCAGTTCAGCTGGTCGAAATGTGTGTAACTTTTGATGTGCTTGCGTCATCTTTCTTTTTTCTGTTTTCTCCTAACACTTAAATATTTCTGCTGAGTTTAGACCCTGTGGGAGGCCGCTATCATAAAGTGGTACCATCATTATGGCACCACTCCGGGTCATAACGTTATCGTACAGTCAGCTAAGCAGCTGTAAATGTGGCAATCTTCATAAAGCTCTGCATGTGTCGAAACTGAAAAGGCATTTTTGAAAATAACAATTTTCGTTTCGTTTCAAAAACACGAATAGAGCAACTTTTTAGTAGACTCAACCTCTTTAATAAAATCCCGCGCCGACATCGCAGGGATTTTAACGATTTCGGAAGGTGGTTTTGGTGCTGAACACCATACGCCTAATTAATATTCCTAGGCAATAGGAGGGATTAAAGCAGCGCGGGGCTGCCATCGCCCAGCAGGACATCCATCGTCGCTGGTATTGTGTTCTAATCCGGGGCTGCTCATCTCATCATGACGCCGTACCGGAGCGCGCCGGCACAAAAGGCACGCCCACGACACGGAAGATACATTACTGGCCTGGCCGCGACACGGCCGCGACGCGGCGGCGTCCGACCGGCGCGGCGTCACGACCGAGCGCCGGCCGGCGAGGTCGCAGGTCACCGTCGCCGCGTCGATTCCGACGAGACGCCCGCGCACGGTCGGCGCTAAATAGATATTTATTCACTGCCTTCCGGCAGGCAGATCCTCAGCGTGTGACGCGCGTCGGAAATGCCCGCAGATCAATAGCGCGGCAGGCCGGGGTTGGGCGGCGGCCAACAGGGCGGCGCGCGCGGCCACAATTGCGGCGCGCTGTGCGTGCATCGCGGCACGCCGACGCTGCGTCCGCAGCCGACTCGACGCCGGCCCACTGCGCCAGATTAAAGGAAACGTATGCAGATTAAGTTCTCGACGGAATAAGGCTCGTTCAGCGAGCCGACGCGTCGGCCCGGAGGCGGCGGATGTCAACAGGAGAGGGGAGACCGAACCAACCATCGAGCGAAGATGAGCGGGGACGGAACGCGACCCCGGGGATATACAACGGGCTGAGCATTTCAACTTCCGCTTTGTTTCTCCCCAGAACGTTGGGTTGTACCCTCATGATAGTTGGTGTTCGGCATCGAGCCCTGGTGACGCTCCTGTTTACGCTGCCAGCCGCTGGGAACGTCAGCAGCTCAGTCATAAGGGGCCAGCCAGTCGCCAGACGCATCAGCATCAGCGTCGCCGCCCACACTTCACGCGCTCCCGTCCCTTAGGTCTTCACCTCGGCACAGCCCTGGAGCACCTCTGGAGCACCATGTGGAGCACAGTTCTGGAACACGGTTCTGGAGCACCATCTGGAACAGAATTCTGGAGCGCCTCTGGAACACCATCTAAAGCACAGTTGTGGAACACCATCTGGATCACAGATCTGGAGCACCATCTGGGGCACAGTTCTGGAGCACCTCTGGAGCACCACCATCTGTAGCACAGTTCTAGAGCACCTAATTTCCTCCGCAACTGTTGAGCGTCCGCCAGTCGGCCGCTCATGGCGGCTCTAATGAGACGCGGCGCCGGCGGCTGACGGCGGCCGGCCCTCTCGCGGCCCGCGCCCGGCCACCTGATGTGATGTCCGGCCGCCACGTGGCGGCGCCGCTGCCGCCCGGCGCCGTCCTTATTTCCGGCCGCGGCCGTCGCCGAGCCCGATGGGCCGTCATCCGCCGCCGGGCGCGGAGATGGGGCGGAGGTCGGCGCACGGCCGGGCACGCTCCCCCTCAGCGCGTTGGATCGGACGGCGCCGGCACCGCGCGCCTGGCCCAGTCCACGGCCGCCGGCGCGCGGCTCCGCCTCGCCGATTCGCCGCGCAGATTCATCAATGCATGTGTTGCAAAAGTGCTCAGGGTTATGATAAGAACAAGCCCGGAGAAATGGTGAAGTGGCTGCGTAGATGCATGTTGTGCGCCGACGCATCCGCATGCGAGCTGCGCTTACAAGTGAGACACCCGGGACGGGCCGGCAGTTGGTGAGATATCATTGGTTTTGTAGTGATCTGCTGGAACGGGACGTGAGTTGCTGAGTCGGATGCACAGATGGCATCAATCCCCTTCCGCTTAGCGTACAACAGCATCAAAATCATGGTGGCCTGGCCTACGGCACGTAAAATCGTAATGAGCGGAAACAGGCGGACGGATTATCTTGAAAGATGCCAGGAGCGGGCGACTACTGGCATCAGTGCACTCCAATCCTGCTAATCAGCAAGTTGGAGCAAGGGCTGTTACATATAGCTAATTGACGCACGTAAGGAACGTTTCAAATGACTGTCGTACCCAATGCATAGCCAATTCAAGCAGTGCTTGAGGGGCTGCAGTAATTGGATCGTCTATATCTGGTCAGTACTGGTTATCTAAAATAGGTCACAGCGATGACCGAAATGGTTGACTTGTCACGGAGAGGTCGAGAGAGGTCGATCTTGCCTGAGACGAGGGCGCGTACTTGACATTCCCTGTGGCGAGCTCGCGGCTCTCATCTCAGGACGCCGACATATCTCTGGTTGAGAGGGCCGACACCACGCATCTCCATACCATTAGCGCCTGCGAAGTCCGCGGTACTTTCCGATTGATTTCGTCCGAAACATTTGTGAAAGGGAATTGCGTCGGGGATGCCCGTCTGGAAAATTGCCACAACATTGAGGGTCAGCTTTTCAACAATTACATCACTCCAATCTCTGCTCATTTTTATAACATAGACTTTCTCCACAACACGGCAACCGCGGCATCTTCATCTTTTGCCTAGCTCGCGCTGGGATATATTTTGTTTTGGACAGATGAGCATATTAGTATGTTGCTGTTCGGGCACTACACGCAACGCGAGCTGCCGGAGGAGACAAATGCTATTACGGCGAGGCGACCCACGGTGAGATTCGGTGGGGACGGGGGGGGGGGCGGGCGGGGCGAGGGGAGGAAAAGCAGGGTCATTAGGGACTCACAAGGCTCCATCGCTAGCCAGAGTCGCGCTCTGAGTGGCGAGGTTTTTGTGACGTAACGTGAACATGTACAGAACCATTTCAAAGCATGATACTCCCGTGCAGAAAAATAATGAGCTAGTGGTTGCCGACTATGGGCATCACGACCGTGACATTCCTGGCTTGGCATCATCTAAGCTTCCCAGCCATTTCTGGGGCAAGGGTTTGACAACATAAGCCACAAAGGCCTTACGAGTACACAGGGCACTCGTGAAGGGCACTGGAAAATATGATCTCAATGTCAATGCTCGGCTCAACAATCACTAAACGCGTTCGGTCCGACATGGTCAACCGTCGCATTTGGTTCGGCAGGAAAATAACCCGAAAAACCTTAAGGAAACAATATTGCATTTAATGCACGCTGCCGCTGCATAACTGCACGCTGCCGTCTTGTGTTGTTTAGGACATGCCATAGTTAGGTGTACCTACCAATGAGCATCTTAGAAAGCACGTGAGCCTACACACCGTTTATCAGTATACTTATTTCCTAGTCACACCATTTATATGACTTCTTGCACCAAGACGTTATTTAGTGAAGTGGTGCCAAATATGCACGCAGCTGTACACAGTGTCTGCAAACAGAAAATGATGGCTATCCCGGTGTCAATGCCTCACTTCTTCGGTTTTTTCTTTTTCTTCCTCACTTTTCTGGTACACAGATTTTTCTGTACATTAAATTTGACAAAGCTACGACAACATTCCGATTGTTTCCCATGTTCGGCTGACAAACGACAAACAAACGCAAACGCTTTCAGAAATTCGCCAAGATTTTCCGAGTCCGTTCTTTCAGTACTGTCCACCGGTCCTTCCGTTCTCGACCTTTCGCCTTTCAACGGCGCACGCGATCAGGGCAGTTGATCTCTTCTGCGAATTCGAGTCAGTTTAGGTAACTGCCAGGCCATTTCGCGGCCCGTGTCCACGCCAACGGGCCGCGGACGGCAAGAGAAACGGCCGTCCGGCCCGGAAAAACAAACTCCGTCAGTTCCTGCACCCCAAACCTCTCCTGAGAGGGCCGGATCAATAGACTGCTCTCTGAGCCATTGTGGCCCGCCACGGCCTACCGGCCCGAGCACAAAGGCCGCTCTCCGGGGCGCGGGTCAGGCAACGTGCAAAACCCGCAGCGGCCTTCGCCGTCGCCGCGTGCCCGCCACCCCGTCCGCTGCTGCTGAGCGAGCGGGTGCCGCACCCACCCACCACCCGCCGCAGCGGAGACACGGCCCCGCCTGGTGCTGCCGAGCGAGCAGTGCCGCACCCACCACCCGCCGCAGCGGAGACCAGTGCCAGTACCCACCCGCCCTGCCCGCTGCTGCCGAGCGGGCGGTGCCGCAACCCGCCCACCCGCCGCAGCGGAGACACCGCCCCATCCGATGCTGCCAGCAAGCGGTGCCCCACACCCACCCACCCGTCGCAGCGGAGACACCGCTCCGTCCCCTGCTGCTGAGCGAGCGGTGCCCGCACCTACCCCACCCGTTCGCAGCGGAGACACGGCCCCGCCTGGTGCTGCCGAGCGAGCAGTGCCGCACCCACCCACCCGCCGCAGCGGAGACCAGTGCCAGCACCCACCGCCCTGCCCGCTACTGCCGAACGAGCGGTACCGCACTTACCCACCCGCCACGGCGGAGACACCGCCCCGTCCGCTTTTGCCGAGCGGTGCGGTGCCGCACCCACGCACCAGTCACCGCGGCCGCCACCCTATCCGCTGCTGCCCGAGCGAACAGTGCCGCACCCGTCCACCCGCCGCAGCGGAGACACCGTCCCGCCAGCTGCTGCCCAGCGAGCAGTGCCGCAACCCACCCACCCGCCCGTAGCAGCCGCCCACCCGCCCGTAGCTGCCAAGCGAGCAGTGCTTGCACCACCCGTCGCCGCGGCCGTCACTCCGTCCGCTGCAGGCGAGCGAGCGGTGCCGCACCCGCCCACCCGTTGCCGCGGCCGCTGCTTGCCGAGCGAGCGGAGCAATGCTGCCACCCACCCGCCCACCGCAGTAGAGAAGCCCGCCCCTGCACGCGCCGCGCCCGGCGGGCCGCGGGGCAGTCCGGCGCCCATCGGTGGGCGGTGACCGGACGGCGGTGTGCCCGGTGTGGGCGAAGCCTGGCGCTACTTCAAGGGACGGCGGCGGCCCCCGGCGAGCCGAACTGCCGGGGTCGTGCGGGGTTCACCCGGCACTTCACACCTTCTGCGCCCAGCAGGGACGCCTACAGTTTGGAGCTGTGGGGGCGGAAGATGCATTCTGACGCGGCGGAAGAGGCCCAACAGCCGAAGCCCTGATGACGATAAACGTGATCATTGGGTCCGACTTCAGAAACTACCATGCAAACCAGCTGATGTTGAATCCTAAACGGCGTCTGTAGAATGACTCAAGAGTTTCTTGATTAGGAGTTAAGCGTGCATAAGTGAATGCGAGTGCTGTGCCTGCCGTTTGACGGCTATTCCGTCGCCGACTCCCAGCTGTGCCGGCCAGTGACACGGCCAGCTGACCAACGCGCTGGGCTCGCTGTGCTCGCGACGGTGACGGAACAGCGTCACCGTCGGCGAGCGTGACGCTCAGGCCGCGGGCACGGCCTCAGGCGGTTGACGAGGCGACCATCCATCCCACACCTTCCGTCAGCTGCCGGGCCGGGAGTCGGGAGTCGGGAGAGGGCCGGGAGTCATTACCGACACCGTTGACAGAAGGGGAGTCATCACCAAGCACCGGTGAACGCTGGGGAGTCATCACCAACCCGGTGACTACGGGGAGTCAATCAACGACACCGGTGACCAGCTGGGGAGTCATCGCCGACACCCGGTTGCAGTCGGGAGTCATCGCCGACACCGCTGACCAGCGGTGTGAATCAGCACTAAAGGTGCTAATGGCGGCGGCTGGCTGGCTGTCAGCCACTAACACCGAAACTACCAAAAACAGTGCGACGTTAGTAAGGACTGCCTTGTCATCCCAAGTTATTTCTCGCTCATGCATGCTCATTTGCAAGTGTTTAAAAGGGCGGTGACTCACCGGCAAGAAGTGTCTAGAAAAAAATCCCCTTCACCCCGGGGCGATAGAACACTCGCCACCCAAGTTTTGATTCAGCTTCGAGAATGGCCACTGTCTCCACTGCACAGCATTCATCGGACTGCAGCTCACCTTCGTTATCAAAGCCAAACCCGACAGCCTGGCGAGTGATTTTAAGTCGGAGTAGGAAACGATCGCAGTCAGCCGGCACCACTGCTGACACTGGTGCTCAGCCGCTGCTGACCTGCACAAACGAAGTGTTTGGCTGCCTTTGTGCAGTGTGTCATATTAATAACCCATAACTGAATATGCCT